TTTCTGGAGTTTCTATATCATGTTAGGCACACATAGAGAGCACATTAACTCAGAACTCTTTTATTGGCTATAAACTAACACACACTAGTTTATCCAAGTCTAAACAGCCCAGCCTAGCTCCTGGGTGAGCAGCGCATGGCTAAAATTAGCCTGGCCATCTGCTGAGATAGCAGTGAGCTGTCTTGAGCTCCAGCAAGCCTGCAGGAAGGGGGGCCAGCTGGGGAATGGCAGAGAGGCTGGTGGCACCCGGGTCACAAAAACCAGGATGAGGGACAGGAGGATGGAGTAACATCTGCAGGAAGAGCCCAGGGTCTTGGCAGGGTCTCCCAGGAACCACACACAGCACAGGACTGTGGTCCTGATTTCTAGTTTTTCCTGCTTTCCTGCAGCTTCCAGTTTGCATTCAGACTCCAGCAGAACTGTTCTGGAGGGTTCAGAGATAATGACTAAGATCTGTTCTATTATGAGTGCTTATCAGAGGTCTGGAGTCATGCCAGAGTTTAGGGCTCTCAAACACATTTTTTTTTTTTTTTTTTTGGTATTTTAGGCAACGGTCTACAGGGTGTTCAGGGTCTCACTACTAGATCACACTTGTAGTGATCCACCTGTTTACAGCCTCCCAAGAACTGGGATTACAGGCACGTGCCACCACACCCAGTCTCAGTTGCCATCTCAGCATGCCTCGGGGGTGGGGCCGTGGCAGGTCCGGGGATTGAACCCTTGGCCCCTGTGTCTGCTTGCAGGCGCTTTAATCCACTGAGCTATACAATATCAAGACAACTCTGTGATTCAGAAATTTGTTTACTTTCACGTAGCCAATGAGAAAGGCCTGGTAGGAAGCACTGCTCAAGGAGAGCCCTAGGTTCAGATGACCCAGAGCACAGGGGCTCTCTTCTGCAGACCCCAACCATACTTCCCTTGGTCTCTGAAGAGACTCTGCACCCCTTTGAGTTAAGAACACACTATTCCCAGCAGAGAGGAATCTGAAGGACAAATATAACCCAGACATTTATTATACTCTGTGACCAAGAACCCCATTTAATTTGTATTTATGGATTAGTATTAACCCAATGTCAGAGATCCTAGGCTTGGGCCAGAGGTGTTCTATAGCCTAGAACTACACTATGAGGGGCTGGAGAGATAGTTCAGTGGCACAGTCCCTGCCTGGAAAGTATGAGGTTCTGAGTTCAATTTCTGGTGGTCCCCCCCCATTAAAAACAAAACAAAACTGTACTGCGAGATGAGCAGGTAGGTAGTTCAGGAAGTGTTTGGTTGCTCAGTGTGCCTGAGGCTCTGGGTTCCTTAGTATGAGGAAAACAATAAGCAATCAAAGCTCATCAAACAAAAAAATTACACTTAAAAAAATTTATCAAGTAGAGCCAGTTGTGGAACACACCTGTAATTCCAGCACTTAGGAGGCTGAGGCAGGACTGCTATTAAGTGTAATGGCAGCTCATCTCCAAAAACCCAAACTTGGGGGGCCGGAGAGATGGCTCAGTAGAATAAACGCTTGCCTGGCAAGCGCAAGAGCCTGAGTTCAATTCCTGCTTCTACCACAAAACAAAAAACAAAATCCCAAACCAAAAAATGCGTAAGTTTATAAAATGTATTTTGTGTTCTTGAATGAAGCACCAGCCAACAACAAAAAACTAAAATAATGAAAATATTCACAACATTTTGAACTTAAAAGACGTACATATAATTCTCATTTAACCCCTCATGAAGTTACTTTGACTTGCTAAAACATTGCAGATGGCTCCCTGCCTGTGCTCCACCCCTCTTGTAATCAGCACATTACAGCCAGGACTTTTTTCTAAAACTGTTCCTATAATTTTTCCTGCCCTCACCCAGAATCTGAGTTGACAGAGGTGATACAAACCTTCACACTTATCGTGAGTCCTTAGTGGTCCGTCACTTTTGAGGCCTTTCTTGAAAATTTCCTGGGGGTCCTCACTATCCCCCTGCTTGTAGCACCCCATTTTCCCCTGGTAATCATGTCTCTGGCATCTGCATATTGGCTCTTTTTTTTTATTTTTTATTTTTTTTATTTTTATTTTTTTAACATTTATTAATTTGTGTGTGTGTGTGTGTGTGTGTGTGTGTGTGTGTGTGTGTGTGGCCAGCTCAGCCCACCAGGGGGCGCGGCTGGCTGGCATGTGGTGCTGGGGGATCGAACCGCGGTCCCTGTGCTTTGCCAAGCTTGTTCCAAGTAGGTGCTTTAGACCACTGAGCCATCTCTCCAGCCCCTGCATATTGGCTCTTGGTACAAGAAGCCTCTAACTGCCAGGAGGTAGCCTTATCTTCCAATTCAGTAGAATCACACTGTTTCTTTAGGAAGCATTTGTCCCCTACAGATTAAGGCCTCCAAACAAAATTTATGTGGGTTTTTTTCTTTCTTTTCTGTTTTGTCTTTTTGAGACACTATCTTGCTATGTACTTTAGGCTGGACTTGTAGCCCAGGCTAGCCTCAAACTCACAATGATCCTTGCACCTCAGCCTCCTGAGGATGTGTATTTATCAGGTGTTAGAAGCAAGCATTAGTCCAATTTACTGCATTTCCTGAATCTAAGACCAAACCCCCTCCCTTCAGAGTGCTTGTCTATAACTGGCACCATTATGAGCCACCCATGTCTAGTCATTAGGCCACTTTGGGTGATAGGGTAGTGGCCTAACCACCCAACTCATAGGCTGGGCCCGTGCTACACTCTCTACTGTGGGGATGCAAAGCCTCCACATGGGAGGTCCCAGCAGTGGACAGCAGTGGACAAGCACCAGGCACACAGGACAGACACAAAGTGTCCCACTGGGCCAGCTTGTGTGGGGTGGGCATGGTGTCATTTACACTCAAGCACAATTCACCAACACCAAAGAGGAAAATGTTCAAGGCCCTATCTTTTGTTTTTCCCCAAATGTACCTTGTAACCTAGCCACCTCTAGTAGTGAGACACACTGTCATTACCCACATAGCCTGCGCTGTATATGCCCAAGAAACTGCTGCCTTGGGTGCCCCTTGGAGCTCAAGGCAGTAGGTGCTGCTTAGGACACTAGACTTCATGGAGTCAGCAACTCCAATTGCAACCGAGGGTGAACTGTTCTGCTGGGCCAAATGATGGACAACACCAAGCCTGATCTGGGAGTTGAGAAATGGGTTTAGGAGAAAAGAAACACTACCATCTATGGAAATGCTAAATCCCATGTCAGCTGGCTGTTCCAGAGCAGTGTAAAATGGGTATGTGCATGCACACTGGAGGCTGAGCCCAGAGCTATACACTAGGCAGGGGCCTCTACAGAACTCCTCAGTCCTAATCAAATCACCCCTCCCACACAGACCCCAGACAGCAGATGCATGAAGAGCTGAGATTACTCACTGGCTAGGTCTTCAGCTTAAAGCTAACTGTAAGTGGACATCACACACACCAGGGGCCAGGCCACACTAGTCTTAATCTGGCCTGAATTCATTCCTAAAACCAGAGCAGGATGTTGAAGGATTTCTTTTTCAACTCCCAAGGAATGTAACACCTGAACTAAGATGAGAATCACAGAACTTGTGTGCTGCACCGGGAATGGTGTGTAGTCTCTGTAAGGTACGTGCCACTGCTAACCGCTCAGCCAGTAACATGTGCAAAGGCTGGGGTGAGCAGGTGCTTCTAGAATGAACATTTCTGCTCGCAGAGGTCCACTACCTGAGCAGGGCTGGATTTGAACTTCGACTTAAAAATACTTTAATCAGGGCTGGCCAAATAGCTCGGTGGATTAAAGCACGTGCAAGTACCATGAGTCTGATCTATTAGTGAGACCCTGAACACCCGGTAGACCCTTCCCTAAAATACAGAGGAAAAAAAACTTCACAAAACTTCGAGTACTGCAAGGATAACTGTTTTCTGTATAGTTAAAAAGGGGCAGGGATGGTGGTACACACCTGTGACCCCAGGATTTGGAAGGCTGGGGCGGGAGGATTGCTGTAACTTTGAGATCCAGTCTCAAAAAAATTAAAGATAAAAGGTTAGAGCATAAAACATGGAGGAGCCAGGGTACTGATGGGCTCTGCTGAATGGCTAACAAATCTGGACAGCGGAGGGCAGAGGCAGAGATTTTCATGCAGTTACACACAGGTAGTCTGTCTTGCCTCTGATTTCCTTGCTTTGCTCTACCTGAATTCTTAACACCTTAACTGCACTTTGCTAGATAAAGGCACAAACTTGGTCACCACAGGCCAGAACTACAATTCACACATGACCCTTCAATGTCACTTTTTTTTTTCCCACTACAAACTCATTCAAGTGTTACTATTTTTGAAACAGGGTCTTGCTGTATTGTTTAGGCTGTTCTTAAACTCATGACATAGCCCAGGCCAACTTCAGGCTCACAAGTGATCCTCCTGCCTCAGTGTCCAGAGTGGTAGGATTACACATCCCCCCCCCCCCGCCTTTTTTTTGTTACTGGGAATCAAACTTGGGACCTTGCCATTAGCCAGTCTGGCGCCTGTGCTGCTGAGCTATATCCCCAGCCCCTCCCCATGCTCTTTCTGTCCTTTGTTTCTCTCACCGAAGTACAAAACAAAATCCTGACAAAAATCCCTGGATTTCCAGGCTTGAGACATGTTTTTTCTTCCTCCTAGGAAAGGTCTGTAGAACCTCCAGGGTAGGTGTCTTGCCATCTCTGCCTATGACTGCCCATACCCCTACTCCTATGAAGAGTGTCTAGGGGTTGTAAGGCCCAGCCATGGGTTTCAGATGTAAACATTCAGGGTCAGTACTCAGCAGCTCCAGGAGTGATGTGGTCTATGTGCTTCTCTTTCACACTGTCTGCTGAGTGCCTCCTGTTCCTGAGCTATGGTTTCTCCTACTCAGGTGGACGTTCAAGTCTGGTGCCTGGTGCTCCAGGGTTTGAGAGACCAGCAGGGACAGTACTTGGGAGTCTCTGTGGACCTTACCCTATGATTATGACATCTGCAGTGAGAATGAGACCAGACACAAGCACGAGCACAGAAGGATTTGCATTTTAATGGAGAATGGCCATCAGCCCTTGGGTAGCTACATTGGTGATTATAGATGATTTTAATCTAGAAGACAAATAACTGCTCATAGGTAAGTCAAGAATTCCAAGTACAACTTTTAATTTAGTATGTTACACATTCAGAGAGCTTCCATGGTCAAGTATTTCTAGAAAAGGAAGAAAGCTCTCGTTTCCTAAGAGAAATCCATGTTTCTCCTTTTAGTCTCCCCATTATTTATCACTGAAAGGCAAAATAACATGATCCCAAAACTAAAAAGAGGACAATAAGTACAAGATGAAGAAAATCTAAATAGTATGAAATTAGTTTTTATTTTTAGCTCAAAATAAATGTTTAACATTTTGCCAATATCAAAACTAAAAACAAACACTTAGAAAAAGAGTGGAAGCACATTTCCCTCTCTGGGAAACCAGTAAGGCAGGGGCTGTAATGTGACTTGGCTTCTCCAAAGGACTAGTCTAGGTGAACACAGTGAACAAACACCTTTCCCAACTTTTCCTCAGGTGTTGTCAGCTAGGACTTTCCCTGGCAGAGTACCCCACCCCACCCCACCCCACCCCCATCATCTACAACAGGAGGAACCTTTTAATCTGTTCATGTAAAATCCTCTCTACTGAGACTGAGTAAAGGTAATGGCCATCAGCAATCAGTTGAGGTCTGTGCAAGCTCACACATGAGGACACCATGGGCCCTGGAGCTGGAGTCCTGGGGCAAAGCTCTGCTACAGCTGAGTTCACCACATGGACATCTTAAAGTTGAACTTTAGTTTCAGCAGATACTTCAGATTCACCTGAGCAATATCGTAGACGATGTACCTGGAGGGAAGTGTATTAAGGAGACAACAGCTTGGTGTCCTGTTCCTCCTTCCTCATGGATGGCAGGATGCTCAGGATGACCCACTGTCTGTCAGGCACACGAAAGACCCACTGGAAATGGGACAAGACTCCCACCCTGTGAACATGGGGAATCAGGCACCATGAGATCCACTACAGGACAGTCCCTGAGGAGTATGGAGCAACCCGTGCAGAGGTACACAATGCTACGTCTCCCAGATATTTGTCATGCTCACACCCAGCATGCCACGAAAGGATACTCATTGTACAGCAGGCAGGTGTCGTTAACACCCGATGAGATCCCTGTGCCAAGGGGAACCTCAACTCCTTGCAGAGTAATACTAGCTGAGGGGTCAGGGGTTGTTTTTCCCAAACCTGCAAAACAGAAAGTCAAGTGCTAGGAACTAAAAATGGGTGTGAACCCATCCCAGGGACACGAGGTACAAATCATGCCCCGTGTATGTTCTCGTTTTAAATATACAAATCCCATATTCTCTTCAGCTATGAAACTGGAGGCTGAAAGGTGGGAGTGGTAGTCCATGCATGCAATACCAGCACTGGGAAGGCTGAGGCAGGAGATTTGCTGTGAGCTGGGGGCCAGCCTAGGCTACATAGTGAGTCAAGAACTGTAGTGAGACCTTGTCTCAAAAACCAAAACCTAAAGGCTTGAAATTTAGGTTCTTAGTATCAATCTGAAATATTTTTTTTTTTTTTTTTTGTGGAGAAGTGCAACATCAGCTCCCTCTGCGCTTACACAGCTGCTCTACCAAATTCCACAGCAGTCCCTTCCCCAGGCAGCTTGGTGCCCTGAACACATGCCACCAGAGGCCCTTTCCTGCAGTAGTTGACAAATACCTCGCATATGTTACCTGTGATACTGGCCACAGCCAAAAGTGAAACTGTGTTCTGTTAAATGAACAGCCACCCCTAAGCCTCGGCCTTCTGGGGAGGCCAGTCTCCCTTTCCTTACTCTCCTGGGGGCCTGGCTATAGCCAGGGGACATCACCTTTGACGCTGTGCTTGCCCTTGGGTAACTTGCTGATGTGAGAAGCATGCTTCAGTTCATACCTGTTCAGGAGAGAACAGTCTTAGAGCCCCTAGACCAGCACACTGCCTAGCACAATCAGGTGGGATGACTTAAAACATCCAGAGAACCCTGCCCATTGTCACTTTGGGTGCCTAGCCCACACAACTGTGGCCCCCACCCAAAGAAAGGTTCTGTTTGGAGCTTCAGCCGGCTGGCTGCTCCAGAGGTTGTTTGTCCCTGGACCTTTAAAACATGACATTGCTCCCTGGGAAACAGCTGATAGGATCAGAGGAGATGTCTAAAGCAAGCTGATTAATCAGATTTTCTTTTTGGGGAATGTGGAACTGAAATTAAGAGTCCAGCTCCATCTAGTTTGGTCAAAGAAAATCTAAACAATGGTGAGAGGCAGGGTGAGTTGTGGGGAGACCAGCTTTGGTGCAATTTGGCCTCTTGCTCCCTGAGGCCTGGTTGTCCTACTACCTTCTTATCTTCTAAGATGCCCTTCTCTCTTCCTGGATCTCAACTTGAATTGTTTTCTACTACTCACAGGTGGTCAGAGCTATCTAATCAGTGACTGGTAGGGCCTCTTCCGGCTTCAGCTCCCTCCTCTTCCCATCAAGTCCCCCACCTCACAGACAGGCTACTCACATGTTTCCAAGGGCGACCTCTCCCAACAGGATTAAGCCTATTTGGTCTCCCTGAGATGTGTGGCAGTAGTTGGCACTCTTGGAGACCATGTCAGCAAAGTAGATGCCTTTCCCAAACATGTAGCCTGTCTGCAGGGTTAGAAAAGGGACAGCTGAAATCCTCCTTACTTGAAGTTAGGCCATTTTCTCAGATTGCCTTGAATGCAGCAAGCACTCCCTGATGCTGAGGCTGGCTGTGAAGTTCCTGGAACCTACTTTCTTCTTCCCAGCTGGGAAAATAACCTCATGGGGCTAATGGGAGGGTCACAAATTAATTCACCCTGCTCAGACTTGCAGCAGGTATATGGGCATACCCAGGACTGCAAGCTATCATTTTAGCTCCTGCAGTAAATGCAACAGGAGGTTTGGAGAGCTGAGGTCATCTGCCTAGTCTCGCTCAGCACTGGACAAGTCACCACACCACCTTGGGTGGACCGAGATGCACAGAAGCCACCAGCCAGGGATCAGCAGTGGTAGCGTGGGACTCAGCCCGGCTGGGTCCAGGTCAGTTTCCTGAATGTCAACCCACTCAGCTCCCCCAGCAGCCCTGGCCCACACACTTCTGTTCCAAAATGTCACTTGAGAGCTGTGCAGCTGCATCATGGAGAAGGCTGGTCTGTAGGACTAGGGGAAGACATACCTGGGGCTACTGCTGCAAGGCAGGGAAGGATGTGGGATACACTCCACCTGATGAGCCCATACCCAGCTCCTGGGGCTGTCCCCCTCCTCCAAGGAAGGAGAGACATCCTTGGGCCGGGCCTCCAGGTACTTACCACAGGCGCTTCAGGTGGGGCAATTCGCAGGCCCTGGGACAGGATTCCAGCAAAGTTGGTGGTCCTGGATCCATGCCACAGCAATTTGCGGTTGTGAAGCTGCTTAAAGGGCTTGTAGCGCTGGCTCTCCCCTTCCCGTGCTATCTTAAAGATCTGAGGAGGCAGTCAATAAAGGACACAAAAAAGCAGCCGTCTGGGGGCCAGGGAGATAGTTCAGTAGATTAAGTGCTTGCCTGGTAAGAGCACAGACCTGAGTTCAATCCCCAGCTCCACACACACATACACAAAAGCACCTGTCTGTTACTCTGGTTCCCTGAAAGAGTGCATTGAATCGGGAGCACCAATTCTCTTGTCTTTTTTTTTTTTTTTTGGCGGAACGGGGGATTGAACTTGGGCCCTTGCGCTTGCCAGGGAAGCGCTTATTCCACTGACCCATCTCCCGTCTCTAGAAAGCACAGGTCTGCTGCAGTAGGGAAGCTATATCCCCCCCCTCCCCCCGCCCTACGATCAGCATAACCTGATCTATTGAGGTCCTACTGGACAGAAGCCATCCTACATTGGCAGAGCACACACTTGATTTTTTTTGCTACTCAGAGACAGATTTATTAATGTTGATAGGCTCTGATTGGGAGAGCACACTTGATTCTAAAACCAAGTCAAGACTGCACATGCCCTTTAAGAATAAAAAGCTACCCCAACCACAAGACTATTACTAATTTTCCTGTCCAAAAGACAGTCACTTGCTCTCCTTATTTAAAGCAAGGCAGACTGCTGTTGCCTTCTGAGGCTCAGGCTGGAGGTGGGTGGGGAAAGTACAAGGACACAAAGGGGAAAAGGAGCCAGTTCTTACTTCGACCACCTGCAAGTCATATGCATTGTGTGTGGTTGCATGTGTGTTCTTCACATACTTCCTGATGATCTCAGCTTCTTCAGAATCTTTGTCAACCACCTAGAAGACAGGTGTCTTGGGATCAGAGCAAGGAGATCCCCAGGTAAGTCCCACGTAGGCAGACTAGCAATCCACAAGTTGAGCAGATGCCAGGACCAACTCACTCCTCACTATAAGCCATACTGCAGGTGCTATACTGTAATCCAGGCAGGCTGAGCCTGGATTCCACCTCCCTGGGCATCTGTCTTTTCACCTATTTCAATTGTTAAAGATCTCAGGGGTTTTCTAAAATCTTACGCTTTTTGCTATCAGAAAAGCTACAATTTGGAGCTCAGGGACCAGGGAGAATCCAAAACGAAGAACTGGCTCTTACGGCAGCAGTCCAGCATGAGCCAGACAGAAGCCAAGGGGCCAGAAGCCACCATGCAATTAGAAATGGAGGGAAGCAGACTAACCACTGAGACTTGAGGACAGGAACAAGCGCTTAGTCTCTGAATTCTTAGGGCCATGTGGGTTACCCCAAGAGCACAGGCCTAATAATGCAACATAAACCTAACTCACATTAAATGCACCACAGCAAACTATGGAAAAGACTTCATGTGCCAGGTTTTAATATTATTAAAAATTTTGGAAAAATCTAGGAATTCTGGTCTTTCTCACTACTAAAAGCCTCAAAACTGAAATGGAGAGTGAAAGGGAAGTATGGTTTCCCTATTAGGAAGGTACCCCAGGCAGATGGGGAGATGCCGGAATTCTATTCCATTCAGCCCCAGTCTGCAGTCTGCATTGGGTCTTACTCAAACAGCAGAGGTTCTGGCCTGATACCTCTGGGCAGGCAGTTGGGGCCAGGGAAAATGAGGCACAGATCTCATTTGGATGGCCCAGGCAGGGTGACACCCCAGTTTAAGGATACCTGTGTGCAGGACACAACACTGATCACAAACACCCAATTTCTATTACAGCCACCACTGGGTATTTCTACTTCTGAGATCAAGTCCTGGAAAACTGTCTATACATCTACAGCCCCATTCTCCAACTCAGAGTTCTCCTCTCCAGGTTAAGGAGAAAAAGAGGAACTTCTGGCCAAGACCTTCAAAATCAGTGCCCCTATCAAGCTGAGGTACTTGTTAGAAAGCCTGCCTGGCAAACAGGGGCACCATGTACAGATGACATGCCCAGGGCCTGTAAGGACCACCAAGTGACACTGAAATAGATAGGTAACTCCATGGGCCCAACAGTTATCCTGACACACAAAGTGGGAATCCTTGCTCTCGGGATCAGTGGCTAAGGCCCTGGGAAAAGGCTGCCTTCTTACCTTAATATCAGTTTTAAGCTTCTCATAGTTGACATCGATAGGGTCCTTGCTACTGTCATCAGACCCACCCAGTAGCAGACTATAGGCCACCTCGATGTCCAGGAGGTTGTCCAGCATTTCCACCTTGGCCTGGGGAGTCAAGTATTAAAGTAAGGAAGACAGATGCCCTTTTGGCACAGATGGCCTGTGTGTGGCAAGAACTTCCTGTCTCCACACCCTATGCCAGTGAGGACCACCACTAAGTATGCCATGAGATGTGCCTCAGCCAGAATTCCTGTTGGTCCCCTGTGAGGTAGAGAATAGATTTCTCTGTCCACTGGCTCTTCTACTCAGAGCAAGGACAAGAGAAACAATCAGTTCTGTGGGATGTTGTTTCCACCAATAGGGAAAAAAAAATCTCTTTTCCAAACCAGGGCACACCCCAGATATGGGCACTACCTGTACACTGTCTGCGTTGTTCAACAGTGGAGGCTTCTTCATCCCAAAATCATGTGGAATCAGAGTGTAGAAGCGATTTGAAAGATCCAGAATCTGGGAGTCGCTGCTGCCTTGGGACAGTACCTGGAAGGGAGGGGACAGGAGTTAAGTGAGGCTAAGGCATGAAGTGCCTGGCACCTACTCAGGCTCTCCTGCCTAGAGGGGCACTGCAGCTGGAGGCCAGGTGTGTGGGGCTTCAAAGAGAAGGCTGCTTCTCACTGTGTAATGGTGTTGGGGGTGGGAGCGGGATACCCAGCTTGGCCCTAACAGCCCAGCACATAGTAGGCTTCTCACACAGCAACTTACTGATGCAGCAAATAAGTGAAACGTTACAAAACCATGGCAGGACTCATCACTGCTGAAAAATGCCTTTTATTATTTCTGATGTTTGAACATTTTTCAATGGGGTGGTGGTGTTTACCATAGCTATGAAATTCAGCCAGATCCCCTTTTGCTCACTGACTCCCATTTCTGAGGTGAGGAATTTGTGTGTGTATAAATTTCAGGTCCAGATGGCCAGAAACAGAAAAGCTAAGCAGCCCTAACTGCAGGGCCTCTCAGGGCCCACATACAGAGGGTGTTTAATGCTGGGATGCTGTGGCCTTGGTGATGGTCTTGTGAATATGGGCTGGGCAAGGGCTGTGAGGTGGCAGCCTTCAAGCCTAATTCTCACCATGGTGTGGACTTTGCTCTGTCCAGTGTACGTGGCACTTGGCAATGGGAAAGATGCAACCTCCCACCTGGACAAATTAAAGAACCTGAGCCAAAGAAAGCCCTACACATTCCTAGCCTGTGGGCAGTATGGAAAGGTGATTGGATTTAACAGCTCTGACTCAGGACCTTACTCCAATGTCAGGCTCACTTCCTGGAACCCCTTCCAGCCTGTCACACCCCACCCATATAAGCAAGCCTCTGAAGGCACGTGTTACACATAATAAATATTGTGTGAACATCAGAGGAAGGAAGGAAAACTTTTTCTATTTGGCAACTTCCTAATAACTGCAAAATAAACTCAGCCTAATTCGTAAGGATGCATGCCACAATTTTAAGAGAAAAATCATCCAACTTATAGGAAGTCTACAACACATTTAGTAACTGAAAACATTACTATGTAAATTTTGTGACATCTTTAGTCAGCAGCAGGCATGTTTCAGTTCTGCTCAACTGAAACAAATCCAAATACTTTATCAACTGTGGTTCCGGGCTGCTGTTTAATTAGCACTGGGCAGATGTCACTGCTGCCCTTGCCTAGAAGAGCAGCTGCCAGGAGACCCCTGGAAGCCCCTGCTCACTCACCTGCTGGACATCACTGAGGATGGCATACGCAGCCTGGATCTGTCTTTTGCTCAGCTTCCCCAAGGGCATCTTCTGAAGGTCGATCTGAGGAGACAGAGGTTCCTCTGAGGAGACATCATAAGACAAGTAACTCCAGCTGACTGGTTCATGGGGGTGGGAGGGAGGCAGAAGCACATGACCTACCTGGCCTATCAGCTAATAAGAAGGGGTAAAGAGAGCTCTCTACGGTCAACACACGCATTAAGAATCAAGGACCCCAGTGAAGCAGCAAGCACAGCATGCCTCAGCAGCCCTATGCCCCAAGATTGAAGGTACAAAGAGCTAACACCTCATCTCTGGTTTCTCAGACACAAGGATATGAACAGCTACAGCTTTTCACTAGCTTAGCAACAGTCCTTGTCCTCAGTCAGTGTTGACATTTAAGTCCACCAAAGATATGTACCTCGTACTCCACCATAGCTTTCTTCATACTTTCCACATCAAAGATCATCTTAATGAGCTCCTGCACCGGCTTAGGGAGCTTGGATTTGGTGCCAGGGTTTACTGTCAGCTTCTTCACTGCTTCTTCATCCTTTAGGGAAAAAGCCAGGCAGAGATCCATGTAAACAGCCCTGGCAAAAGGGTGATGTTGTGGGGCTGCAGGTAATCAGGACCTGAAAGGGGCATCTAGCAAAGGCAATCAAGTGTCCAACTACAGAATAGGAAGTGGTTACCTGGCCATAGTCAATCTCCAGAGGGTAGAACTTTTTGGGATACTTTGTGAAGTTTTTGGAGTGCCAGGCATTCCCGGTCTTTTCTTCATATAATTTCATAAAATTCTCAATCGCATCCTCCTTGGATGGCATCTTCTCCAGTTTGCTGCTACCAATCACGGTGCCCACACGGCCCCAGGACCTGAATATCCAGTACCTATACAAGGAAAGGAGGCATCACAGATCAACAGCTTCCCTCCCCATCATCCCATTCAGGGAGGATTTTTAAAAACACAGTATTGGGGATTGACTTAAAGAGTGCTGAGCCATATTTACAACCCCCTCTTTACTTTTTTGGCATTGGGGAGTGAACTCAGAGTCTTGCACTTGCGCCACTAAGCTATACCCCCAGACCTTTTTTACTTTTGAGATGAGGTCGCCGTAAGTTACTAAGTTGCCCAGGCTAGGCTCCAACTTTTGATCCTCCTGTCTCAGCTTCCTGCTACCTGTGTGCCACCACGCTCACTAGGTTTGTGCTCCACCACTGAGCCACATCCAAGTGCTAAGGGAGAACTTAATATTGGAGTAATTAGGGAATTTGAAACAACACTAAAGAGTAAGTTTAGTGCTTGCCAAGCTGTTTCCCAAGCTTTAAAACTGCATTAAGAAAATCTTAAATCTAGAATGTAACTGGCCAAGAATAAATCCAGCTGGGTGATGTGAAGTTAAACCCTCTTAACAGGAGGCACTACTGGTGGCCAGAAGCCTCCTCCTCCCTTTACTGGAAGACCTCACCATTCTGATTCTCTGTGATCAGGGCCCAGGTCCCACAGGTTCTTGGTTTCATAAGCCAGGTAGAGGCTCCCCAGGCCTGGGGCTTACCTGCTTTCCTTGTCATCCTCCAGAAGCTGCAGCTTGTAGTAGGAGTTGGTCCCTTTGACAATGTCTACCAGGCCGAGGGTTGCACTGAAAACCTTCCCGCCCTTCTCCAGAACATGAGCTGAGTGTTCCAGACCTGGAGAGACAAGGCTGCTGTCCTCTGCCCGAACCCTGACAGGCTAGCCACATGCCTCCCTCCAGAGACTGTGGGGGTGCCAAGGAGGCCAAGGGCGAGGGCAGGAGCACACAATGCCACAGCAGCAGGCGAGCGTGCCCATGTCTACCCACTTACCAGAGTCAGGATCCACAGCTGCTCCTCCTTTAAGAGTTAGTTTCATTCTTTTTTCAGACTTGATACCTATAAAAGGCCAGAGAAATGCAAACATGAACGCAAAAGAGGGAATTAGAGAACTAAGGAATAGTTTTTATAAGTTTGCCAATATAGCACCCATGGATGGCCTCCTGCCACCCCAAGACCTGCCACTTGGTGCCCTCACACTTGGAGCTGGGACACTGTTCTAGGGAGCATTCAACCTAATTTTGGGAAGAGAGGGGCAGGGCCAGCAGCCTGGGCACTCACCTTCCTCCTTGGTGGTGCCCTTGCTTTTCTTCGGGAGCACAGCCCTTGACTTCCCCTTTGGAGCCTCTACTTCGACAGGCTCTTCCTTCACCTCTAACCCCCAAGGGGACAAGATGTGCACTGAGAACAGCTCCTGCAGGGCCTTGGTTGAAGCGGAGACATCATGGAGGAAATCCTCAGACACAACACGGATGTTGGCTTCTTTTACTTCCTCCATCTTCTTACTCATCTTTTCTACCTCCTCTGTTAAAAATTGGAAGGAAAGAAAACCAAACATATACTGAACACTCAACTCAATCTCTAATTACTAGAGCTGCACTTTGCTAAGATTACTGTTAGCTTGCTTTCTTTCCTTCCCAAATGTAATCTCAGAGCACTCTTCATGCCAATAATCATTTCTTATGAACAACAGTCTTCTAAGCCATGCTGAGTTAGGGCATGTTCTTTCAACTATTTCACAGACCAAGGTGTCAGGAGGTACATGGCAGGAGACGGTCAACCCTGCAGCTCAGTGTGAGTGGGAAGTGCTGTACCATTTCTCATTCATTTGACATGTTACACCTACAAAGACGGATGAAGTGAAGCTTCCTGTGAGGCCACATCTAGATCGCCAGCACTGGATAAACCAACTATAGCCAAAAAACTCATGAAGAAATCCACTTAGCTACAGCAGCTTGCAACTTTCAGTTAGGAATGTAAGACACACAAACATATTATATATACTGAGCAGCTACACAAAATGAAAACTCTTATTTTTTTATGAACAACAGTCTTCTAAGCCATGCTGAGTTAGGGCATGTTCTTTCAACTATTTCACAGACCATATATATACTGAGCAGCTGGCATGTGGTACATATCTGTAAGCCCAGCATTCTGAAAAGCTGAGGCAGGAAGTTTGAAGGTTGAACCCACCGTGGGGAACTTAGCAAGACACTGTCTTAAATAAAAACAAAAAAGGATGAAGAATGTAGCTCAGTGTGAAGGCTTTGATTTCAATCTTCAGTACTGCCAAAAATAAAGAAGTAACACACTTGAATTATGCTGATGTATTGAGAGGATTTTTCGATGTGACCTAAAAATTTTTCGGTGTCACACCCTTCTTCAATGAAACACAGCACAGGTGCTACATATGCTCCCTGCCTCAGAGCTGCACTCCCACCGCGGTTCATCTCCACTCACTCTTAGTGCTGATGCACAGGGAGGCCTTGTTGGCTGACCCTGTCAACTTGCCCCCAAGCTTCTCAACTTCAGCCTTCACCTCATCCTTGTTCCGGGAGAGTTTCCCAAGCAGCAGGATCTTCATGTCAGACAAGGGCTTATCTGGAATGGGGGAGCAGAACTGTCACAATGGCCTTCTCTGGCACTGTACCTCAGGAAGCGAGGAGGAATAGGGAAACCAAGCAGTGAGCACCAAGGCAGAGGCAGTGAGGCTGTAGAGACTGTGGTCAGCCTCTACTTCTGCCACCATATTCTCCAGGAAGAAGCCATGAAACAGAAGTCAAAGGCCAGCAGGAAGCACAGCACGACAGCAAGCTAGCCCGAGAAGTCATGCATGCTCCATGCCATAGATAGGACTGGGTAGGTGATGAGCCACGAAATGATGTGACCCAAGGAGGTTCCATAGATGGCTGAGCAAGCCTCTCCTGGGATTAGGAACCAGTCTGGAAGGGGATAGACAAAGAGCAGGCAATCTCTTCTGTTTTTCTCCACTATATACCCCTTGTCTAAAATTCAAAGTGCAACTCTTATCCAGGCAAAGGGGTGTGAGCCCACTTAGCCCACAACTCATGTTCTTGGACTGAGGCTTCAGGCAGCAAAGCAGGATCAGGGCGATCCTCATTAGGGATGGAAGGTCACCAACAGGCTCATATTCAGGAACAGGCCTTGTTTTCCACCTACCCAGTTGTACTTTTACCCTCAGATTACATATCATGCTCTGAGGAACAAACAGAGAGCCTCACTGCTGCTGCTGACTTAAAGCATGGCCCACCAGCAGTGGCCAATGACGTTCTGACTCTACAAGAAAGACACCCTCTCATGCAGCAGACTCTGAAGAGCTGTGGATTAAGGGCACCCAGGCATGGAAGTCTACTTGGCCCTTCTCAGGAGCTCTCCCCCAGCCTCCTCAGACACAGAAGTCATATGCTATTTCCAGAGGTCTATGCTGTCCTTCCTTGAGAGGGGGGTCTCTGGGTTTCATTATGTCACTGCCCAACTTCTTAACAAGTGCTCCTTCTGCTTCACTCTCCAGAGGGGCTAGGTCTACGTGCACAAAGACCATACCTGGTAGTATTTATGTTAATACAATTGTTCTACACTGGAGAAGGACTAGCCCAGGTGAGGAAGGGGTTCCTCAGAGAAGAGACTATGGCTGATCACCCTTATCCCAACTCCACACCCCAGCCCCTTTGAGCAGCTCTGGATACAACCCTGGTGCTGTACCTGCTGTAGCAGAGTTCATGGCAGCTGGCTTCAAGGCTGAGGAGGCTTGGGGCATCACAGCCTCGGGGGCGCTGGTCTCTGGGGGAAAGAGCCGGTCTTGCTTTTTGACCTTTAATTTCTTTAGGTAAGAGATTTCTCGGAATTCCTGGAAGATACACATTTTACTTTTCAAGAAACTAATTATGTCTTGAAGCAACAACCAGACAGGCTGTAGAAGATTTTACCTGTGCAAACTAAATAATCTCATAATCAAGAACCTAAAATGGGGAAATGGGTGGCTTCTTTATGACAATGTTCTATTGCTATAATACTTAGTTCTAGTACTATGAGAGACCTGTTACTGTGATGGAGTCAGAGAAAAATCTTTTTTTCCCTCTAGACAAGCTAAGACCAGACTGAACCCAAAGCAACCCAAAGAATGCCACACTGCCACTTCTGCCCTGGCCACTCTCCAGTAGCTCCTGTATAGAGCCAACAGCCTCTGTGTGAGTAACAGGCCCAAACACAGGCCCACTGGGTGAGACTCTTCACAAAATCAGGGTGTGCGCCAATGGATGCACAGAGCCCTACAGGGTTAACTAGGAACCTTGCATTGCTGTGGCTCATTCTATGCTCTACTTATTTATGAGGCATTGTGCTAGGTCCCAGGAAAAGCACAGTTCCTATGTACCCATATCTTCATCCAATCAGAAAACAGCCCTTAAGGGCCACTGAGATAGCTCAGCAGACTAACGGCCTCCCTTGGCAAGTGCAGGGACCAGGGCTTGATTGCTGGTCCTGCCAATCCCTGGTCCAGCATGCTGTGCTGGACCTGCCCCTGGGGCGAGTCTGGGCATGGTGGTGCACACCTGTATTGCCTCCCCAGTGTTTTTAGCGCTGGGGAGGCTAAAAGAGGAGGATTACTACAAGTCCAATCTGTGTAGTGATACTCTACAGCAAATACATTAAAAACAAAACGAAACAGGGGGCAGGGGAGATGGCTCAGTGGAATAAGCGCTTCCCTGGCAAGCGCAAGGGCCTGAGTTCAATTCCTGGTTCCACCAAAAAACAACAAAAGAAAACAAAACACAGCCTTTCTAGCTGTCTTTGTGGTCAGTATGCATTCCAGCTGAGAAGCACTTAATAAATGCCACTCACTACAGAGAGAGAGAGAAAAAAAAAGAGTTCTATCTCTTGAAAAAGCAGAGTGAGGTATGCAAAGGTAAACTCTAAGAAAGCATGTTAGTTATCTTTGTAGTCCTGGGGATGGAATCCAGGGCCCTGTGTATGATAGGCATACACTCTACACTGAGTCCTACCCAGAGCCCACAGCTGCAAAGGCTGGGTGGTGAAGGGACAGGGACTGGAAAGCTCATATGGCATGTGTAGGCAACAAGCAGCTCAGTCTGCCAGGAGTTAAAAAAGGAAAAGGTGGCCAACGCAGAAACCAGTAATGTGAGTGACTTGGGAGTGGATGTGAGAGGCTGTGTGCAGATCTGAGGGGCAGGCACAGGCCAGACAGGAGGGTTCTAGGCCAGGAGAGGGCCTCAGTTATGTTGCACAAATACTGGGAGTGCGGGTAACAGGGGCTACCAGAGTGAAAAACACCAGGCACATGCACATGCTCTTTAAAAATATAGGTAGATGCTGTACAATCAGTACATTAAAATACAAAATGGCATTGGGCTCGTTATTGTATCAATTTCACCATTGGAGGTTTCAATACAAAAAATTTTTTTTTTAAATTTTATTAGGGCCAGCCAAATAGCTCAGCAGACTAAAGTGCCTGCTTAGATAGATGCAGCGGTCAGAGCCCAGCTTGCTGTGTCGGCCTCGCCCCTAGGGTGTACTGAGACAGCAATTGAGACTGGGCATGGTGGCGCCCGCTTGTAATCCCAGCTTTTTGGGACGCTGAAAACTGGCGGTTCACTACGAGTCCAATCTACCAAGTGAGACCCTGTACACACTGTAGACTTACTAAAGATACAAAAACAAACAAACAAACCAAAACACACCAAAACCTTTATTTTTTTAGGCATTTAGTACAGGGTTTACAGGGTCTCACTACACAGATCAGACTCATAGTGATCCTCCTGTTTTCAGTTTCCAAAGTGCTGCGATTACCATACCCAGTCTCAATTGCCCTGGGGATGGGGCCAGCACGGCTTGCCAGGGTTTGAATCCTGATCTCTGAGGCTGCCTAAGCAGGCACTTTAATGCACTGAGCTATCTGGCCGGGCACCATGAAAGGTTAACATGAGACTGCATATTCTACAAAAAGTCCTAAAACTCACAAAATCAGAAAGACTGGAAGGCCAGGAATATAGGTCAGCAGCACAAGCAACTAACTGCCTGGCAAAGTGCAAGTTCCCGAGTACAATTCCTGACACCAACCCCTCCCCCACTGAAAGACTGAGAAAGCTGACTAATCACTGTAAGACTCTTGGCTGGTTTTTCTTTTTTCCCCATAAAATGTTTATGTAAGAATGTGGAAGTGTCAGGTTGTAGGTGTTTTAAGAAATCACCTAAGAGCACAGTGGGCGGGTAGGAGGGACTGTAGTTCTGATGAACAGAAATGGCATACAGTGGACAATACAGGTCAAGAGCAGATGTGCAGTTCAGTGGGAATGTGCTTGCCTGGGGCACACAAGGCCCTGGATTCTACCCCAGCATCATTAAGAAACAAAAATAAAAAAGCGGAGTTCAGTTCCACAAGTAGAGTGAGGGGTACTTAAAATGAGAACCCCTGGGTGCTCCCCATGTGCTCCTGTTTCACGGCTCTACACCGTGAACATAGTTTTGATCCTGCCTGGGCACCAAGGCCTGCTTTGCCTGTTGGAGCCAATGAGGTCCTGTAGTACCACCCTCCAAAGACACCACCAGATCCCCCAGTGCAGCTCCACAGCAGGCTCACAAAGGAGGCCTTCAGTATCCTGTTCAGTACAAAATCTCAATTTTTTTCCTTTCTTTGAGACAGGGTCTCACTATATATTCCAGGCTGGTTTCAAACTCAGGGCAATCTTCCTACCTCTCAGCCTCTCGAGTGCTGGGATTACAGGCATCATTATGCCTGGGCAGAACCAATTCTTTTTTTTTTTTTTTTTTTTTTTTTGCGGTACTGGGGATTGAACTCAGGACCCTGCGCTTGCCAGGTAAGCATTACTTGTACTGAACTATCTCCCCAACCCCAAAGTAGCAATTCTTAAAGAGCATTCCCTATGACATGAGAACCTGAGACCCAGCTCTTCCTCTAGCACTAAGGTGAGAATATACCCTGAGAAACTCTCAAATCATAAAGGCAGTAGCCACAGTTCTTTATTTGCATCATGTCCTGTGTGCCTAATACAATACATGGCGTGCAACACTCAGTAAGTAGAAATAAAAATAATCTTATGTTCTTGTAGCATTTACAGGTGCCCTGCAAGCTCCTGGAACCAGTACTAACGTTGTAACAATGTTCTGATAATGAGGACGGCCCAGCTGCAGTCTAGGCAACACAGCACTGCTCTCCTGCTGACCTGCAGTGTGGACAAACCCAGGGAGTGGGGCCACACTTTAATGGATCCCAGGATGATTCTCAACCCTTTACCTTTGGGGTCATCCACTCCTTTCGACTAGGTGTCTGTGTCTTGACCATACACTTGGTCCAAGCAGTGACGTCACCGGTACAGTAATAAGCATCGCTCCTGAAGACCAGCTGGCCTGAGCACTCCTCACAGGGAAGAAGGGCCCCAAATGCCACACCATCAGCCACTCGGTCCAAGATCTAAAGCAGTGAGGAAACTTGTCAGAGGAAGGAAGGACTCTTAAAAAAAAACAAAAACAAAAACACCTCACTGTGCCTGGGGAGATAGTTCAGTGGAATAAGTGCTTGCCTGACAAGCACAAGGTCCTGAGTTTAATCCCTGGTACTACCAAAAAAAACCCAAAACAAAAACCACCTCACTAACGTGTAGTGAAGAACTCACACCCCACTCAAGGAAGACAGGCCCCCAGGGCCACTGGGTTACGAGGCGACTACAATCCATCACAGACCTTGTCTCTGAAGAGGGAGTTCCCCCATCCTGGGGTCTTAAAACACATGATGGAACCTAGTGCTCCATGGGAGCTGCACCAAGAAAGGTGCCCAGTGTGATGCCAGAGCACAGTACAGGAAAGGTGGGCTGGAAGCCCTATGGACAGACATGCTGCTCTGCATGTGTCTCTATTCCTTTGCATGCCCGGCAGCCCTGGGATCATCTGGCACAATCACACAAGGCAAATACTCACCCTGCCTGCATTCAGTATGTGCTGAAAGAATGTACCATAAGGTCTGGAAAGTGGTGACCACGATGGTGGTGACGCCATCAGGACACAAATGGTGCCCTCCTACATGCAATCAGGGTAGCCTGGCCTCATACATAAGTCCCACCAAACACAAAGCAGCTCACCGCAGACTCCCCAGATGGCACCTGCTGCTTATTGAAGATGAGCAACTCTTTCAGGTCATTTGTTGAACACGCTTTCTTTAGCTCATCCTTGATATTCCAGATCAGGTCGTTCTGGGCCTGTGGATGAGACCCAGCAGCAGAGACAGAAATTCACTGGAGAAGTCTATCTGTAGCTTCTAACCACACCTGTAAAGTTTAGGTGGGCTGCCTTTTACCTCTAGTCAGAATTTCATTTCAGTCATGCTCCCATAGAATTCAAACCCATAATCTCTACAGAACACTCCAGAAGGTGAGGACAGCGTGTGAGAGGTGAGGGGAAGGCCTCACAGGCCCTGGAAACAAGCCCTCAGACACCAATTCAGGAGATAAAGGAAGGGCCTAGAAATGCTGGCCTGGGCGCTTTGGGCCCACATGTACCCTGCCAGTATCTAACACTTCAAGATGGTCAGGTATGGCAGTTCCCAGTTTTTTTTTTTTTTTTTTTTTTGCAGAACCGGGGATGGAACTCAGGCCCTTGCACTTGCCAGGCAAGCACTTATTCTACTTAGCTATCTCCCCAATCCCTTTCTACCAGTTTTAAGGATGATTCCAGAACATCAATTTCCTCAGTAGTATATGCTGAGTGTAAAGAATAAATATAAACTCTTAGAGAAATGAATATCACAATCATCTTGCTGAGGGAAATCTGTCTTTTCATGTTGGAGCTGAGGAACTACTGTGCCTACTCATCTAGAAAGTGGAGAGGGGCATGTAAACCCCACCATACCTGCAGGGCTGCCATAAAGACCAAATGGAGACAGGTAGCCACACACACCTGCACCTGCTCCCCCACATTCACAGGCTCCCTGAGTAACAAGCCCTTCTCTCTCCTGGCAACAGTGCACATGCTGTGATACCAGCGACAGAGACAAGGTAGTGTGTGGAAAAAGTAGATTAATGGGACAAGGGTCAATGAATTGAACTGTTTCACCTCCACAACAGACCAAGGATAGGAAGCCTGCAGAAGAGAGGCCCCAGGGTGGGGAAGCCAAGAGAGCAGTTTAGTTTTTTGCTTTCCTTACATTTCTGAAAACTTTGGGGATAGAGATACCACCAGACTCACTGAGGAAGGAGTAAGATGACACTACAATTCTGGGGCAGCCAAACTTAGCACATAACACACACTTAAAAAACAAAACAACCACAAAATCAAAAGATCTTGTCAAATTTAGTAAGCAACTGAAAACAGGTCATAAATTGCTTCTAGTTTTTTTTCCTTTTTTTTTTTTTTTTTTTTTTAGGACAGGGTCTACAGGGTCTCATCAATCGCTGTCTTGGTGTGCCCCAGGGGCAGGGCTGGCACGGCAGGCCCTGGGATTGAACTCTAGATCCCTGCGCCTGCCTAAGCCAGGCGCTTTAATCCGCTGAGCTATTTGGCTGGCCCCCTACTCCTTTGTTTAATGAAACATTCTCATTAGAAAAAAAATGTGGAAAAATAATCCGTCTTCAAAACCTTCAAAATCTTTCTATGCGAAGAACCTCAGGAATACACAAATTTAATACTCGCCTCCCAATGTTTACAAGTGACTCCAGTAAAGCCTGACAGGGCCAAGGCACAAGTCTGCATCACCCCAGTGCAGCTTGTGAGCAGGGACAGGTACTCAGTCTCTGCTTGAGCCCAGCAACTCATAGGTACTTGCAGCCTGATATGGGTTCTCTTCCGAACAAAATGAATTGGGGGAAATGTCATGCTACTAATGATAAACAGCAAAATGGAAATTCCTACAAGTTCTAGTAAGCGGGACAAAGCTTCCTGAATTCTCCCCCAAAATGAGGACGAGAACTGCAACAGAACAATGAAGAGACTCAGAACTCACCTTGAGGGCTTTTTCCAGCTTACTGTCCTTGTCCTTTTCCTTCTTAGATTTCTTCTTGGTCACTGCATCTGTCCCATCCACCTCATCAGCTTTTCTCTTTCTGAAAGGAATAGAAACGTAGAGACTCTGGCACCCTGTGACACTTTTAGCTCCATGAAAACCTGTGTACACTTGCTCTCCTCCTCCTAGCACCCTCAGTGCTCTCAGTGCAGGCCCTGGGCTCAGAGCTCTCTGATGCCCAAAGCCTGTGTACCTCTGGATACACACAAAAGGGACAAGAAGGGTCTAGGAGGGGCTCTGCTAGTGGAAAGACCACAACCAAGGTACAGGATCTGGAGACAAACAAACCATGTTGGCATTGTACCCGTCGCTCCCCAAGCAGGGGCTGTCTGCAGCTGCTACTGGGCCTGAGAATCCAAACTCAGTGATGGCAAAGCCTTACTCTCTGGTCTGCATCAGCTACCATACACTGGCACCCAAACCCTTGCACTTCCTGTCCTCCACACTGGGGAGACAATGTCTTTTACCTCACAGGACTTGGGTACAATCAAATAGCTTGAGGGTAACACTCAGCTTGGTGCCTGGCAAACTGCAGCCACCACAGCATGCACACAGCTAGTGAGTTCCTTCATCCATCATGTGCCACCATGCCTGAGGGCATTCTCACCCATATTCAAGTCACACAAGTTGCACAGTGCTTAGTGTGTTACAGACATCGCACTGGCTGTTTGAGGGCAATGGCTCAGCTTCAGTCCAAGAATACCCTCGGTGTGCTCACCAACCAGCTACTCTTCCAGGCCTGAGAGACCAGCTGAAGGTCAACAGAAAAGAAACTCAAGAGAATCACAGATAGTGATTCCCAACCTGTGATACCAGCACTCCTCTCCCTCCAAGCCAAGGAGCTCAACACCCAATGCCTAGCCCCCTCTGTTGTGGCCATGATTCACTCAGCAACACTCAGACACACAGACCTGTCTAGAGGGCTGCCAAGGAGGCATGAGTACAGGCAGTGAGGGGCTGGAGGACATGGAACTGCTGACCTGGATAGGGTGAATGGTAGTTTTTAAATATCTGGAGGGCTGCATGAGAGCAGGCTTCAACTGAGCTACAGAGACTAGAAAACAGGGCCAATGCTCACAGCCTTGGTTTGGTTGGAGCTGTGGTAAAGGATATCCCTGAGAGCTGCTTGTAGTCCACCCCCATGCCTGCATATCCCTGGTTCTCTGATAGTCAGCAAATGGACAAGGGTAGCACGAATTTGTAGGGCTTTCAGGCCACCTATAGACTCCTCACCCAGCACAACAGCATCCACCCACCCTTCACTCTTGATCCCTGGGAGTTTCTTCTTCAGGGCTTCTTTATCCTCTTCAGTGAGAAGGTTAAAGCCCTTTAACTGGCTGGCACTGTACTCAGGATGGAAATCCAGCTCCTCTCTAATCTTGACAAAGCAGTCTGGGTGGTACCAGCGGTCAATCATGCCTAGCTGTGGCTTCTCCGGGTCTAGCATCTTCTTGGACAGGCGCATCTGGCCCTGTGGGAAAAGACTGTATATGGAACCACGGGGCCAACTCAAGGCCTGGTGGGCCACTTGACAACTACTGTGAGGTTCTTGCTGTCTTATATCACCAACAATTGTGGCTTCTCCGGGTCTAGCATCTTCTTGGACAGGCGCATCTGGCCCTGTGGGTCACTTGACAACTACTGTGAGGTTCTTGCTGTCTTATATCACCAACAATTGTGTGCTAACTCCAAGCCTCTGTAAGTACCTATACTTTAAATGGGGTTAATCCCAAATGACTGGCCACACACATATCTGCTGCATGAAGGGAATGACATTTCCCTGTGGATGCAGACCCAGACAGACCTGAAAACATGCGATGTGTGTGTAGACAGAGCCAAGGCCTGCAGCCTACTCAGGTTTACAATTGCAAGGCCTGATCTTTCTAGGAGGTGCACACTGATGCAGCAGAGATCCACAGAAGTCAGCACATGTACAACTGTTTCCAGCCAAGCAATGCCTAACAGCATGCAAGGCCTGGCATTCCCTTCAAGAGGACAGGACCTCAATTTTTGCCTTCAATGTCTGGTGCCTGAGGGAAGTTGAAGGAGATGCATCAATTCCATTTTTCCAACTGCCTACACACTGGGTTACGGATTTGGAGTGGTAAAAGCTTGAGCACCAGCCCATGGGGCTACAGGGAGGCAGAGCCTAGTGGAAATTTGGTCACTGAGGCATGCCCAGGCACCTTCCTTCTTCTTTACCTCTTCTGCCACCTGCTCTTGCCATAGTGTACAGTGACACTGCAGACCCAAATCAACATAAACTGCAACTGCTGAAAACATGAATCAAAACAACTCTCCTTTTAAAATGATTATCTCAGGCATTTTGTCACAAAAATGGAAAGCATGCCATATGATAACCTGTACAATCAGTGCCTTAAAAGAGTCTGATGCGGAATATCAGAGGAGGGGAAGAATGCTGGACAGCGCAAGTCTTCCTTCCTGCTCCTGTTCCCAGTCACCCAGTCCAAGAGACTGGCTGGCTAATGAAATTTCTGATTAAACAGAAAGATGGAAGCTCATCCCAGGAACAGAATCATGCCATAAATAAGACAAACAACTTCCCCTCCACCCCTGCTGAGTCCAAGGGAGGCTTCCCCTGGAGTTTGCTTTGCAAACTCTCCAGGTGTGGAGTCAGGCATGAGTACCAGATCTGTCTGAAGCAAATCACTGTTACCTCCAGTCCACACTAGCATCTTTGCTGCATTTTCAAACGTCAGCATTGAGCTGGCACCTAAGGCCATTCCTTCTCCCCTCAGACAGCCCATGCCACCCACGGCCAGAATTCCACAAGGCCCAGGCACCTGAGTCCCCCAGTGCTCACCTTCTCTATCTTCTGACAGCACCACCGGCATGTGCTTCTGTTGGACTTGGCATACTCTGCAGCAAATTCACCCAGCGTTTTCTCTACCTTGCTGCTGATTCCATCCCGGCCTTTGCCTGAAGAATCAAACACATAGCTCTTCATGTTCATGCTTACAGGCCCTTTACTGGATCATTCACCACTTAGGGTCTCACTACCCAGCTTGAACTCATAGTGATCCTGATTTTAGCCTCTCCAATGCTGAGATTACAGGTGTGCCACCATGCCATCTCAGTGGTTGGCTCAGGGTGCTCAGGGGTGGGGCTGGTGCATCATGTGGCCAATTCCCCACTAATTTAAAACGGTATCTTTACCTCAGGTTTAATCTTTACATATATTTGGCTAAATCTGTACTGAGATATTCCCTTTAGCTCAGTGTTTGTAAATAAAGGCCCAACAGAAACTAGAAGGCTGATTTAGAATATAGTATGTTCTTAGGCTTAATTACTTTCCAAAGTATAAAGGGGTTTCAGGGGGAATGGAAAGTGGCGGAAACTCAGGCAGCTGACCATGGTGCCAGTCAGAGGACTTGTCTTGTCTAAGGGGACACTTTTAGCCAGGAGATGTTGCTCAAGTGGTACAGCACTTGCCCAGCATGTGTGAGGCTTTGTGTACTGAAGAAAAGTCACTATATTACCAGAAAAAGAAACTCTGTTAAGTAACCGTGGTTATAAAGATGAGGTAGAGGGCTGGCCAGCCAAATAACTCAGCAGGTTAAAGTGCCTGCTTAGGCAAACACGGCAGCTGGGGCATGCCATTCTGGCTCCACCCCTGGGGTGAGACTGGGCATGGTGGCATGCTCCTGTAATCCCAGCTCTTTGGGTGGCTGAACAAAGGCAGATCACTATGAGTCCAATCTACATAGTGAGACCCTGTAGACCCTTACTAAAATACAAAAATAAATAAATAAAATAAAGATGAGGCAGACCAGCTGTTGCTGCCTAAAACACAAAGGGACTGCATAGGAGGATCCTAGGTAGAAGGACAGGACATCTTGTGAGCATGAGCATGAAAAGCTATACCTACTCTTCCAATTTAGTAATAAAGTACAAATTAAAATCAACTAAGTATTTCTTAGTTGAAAAATCTTCAGAACTGTTTTGGATTTCAGATAATTAAAAAAAAATTGGAGTACTGCCACATAATGAAGTATCTTAGAGCTGAGATGCAGGTCTGTATGTACAATTCATTTATGCTTCATCTGCATATCATATTCATGAATGAAAGTAACTGTATACAGTGTTTACTGGGTACCTGTATTCTGACTGTACCTCATTATAATTCAATGTGGAACTTTCCACTTGCGGCATCACACTGATACTCAAGAGTTTGGGGAAAAAAAAAAGGTTGGCACGTTCTGGATTATAGATTAATCTTATAGTAGATAGGCCCCTGAAACCACTAACATATATGTAATATACATATTTTTTGTACCAGGGATTGAACTCAGGACCTTGTGCTTGCCAGGCAGTCGCTTTTGCTGCTGAGGTCTCTCTCTAGCCCCTAGGCATGGCTAATATTGAAAAGAGCAACCATAACAACAGTTACTGAGGTTATGGAAGAACATGGAACTCTTGTTAACACTGGTGGGAATATAAAATGGTACAGGTACTTTGGAAAGCATTCTGGCCGTTTCTTTAAGATCAGAACATATGTCTTCCATAGGAGTAGCTGTTCCACTCAATATACCTCAAGAAATCAAAGTCCACACACACATGCAACATCTCAGTTAACAACCCCAACTGGCAACAACCCAAAAGGAGCTAAGCAGGTAATGGGTAAATAAACTGATTTATTCAAACAAAGGACTACTCTTTACTAACTAAAAAGGAATTAAAGATTCCTGAGAAAGCATGATTCCTTCCCAAAATTCCAAACTGTACAAAAATCAGTGTGTGATGTTAGAAAGCAGAACAGTAATTTCCTGGCCGGGGAGGACCACTAGAAGGACCAAACGAAAAGGGCACAATAGAAGCTGTTGTAGGGCTGGTGAGATGGCTCAGTGGTCTAAAGCACCTACTTAGAACAAGCTTGGCAAAGCACAGAGACCCCGGTTCAATCCCCAGCACCACATGCCAGCCAGCCCCGCCCCCTGGTGGGCTGAGCTGGCCACACACACACACACACACACACACAAATAAATAAATAAAAATTTAAAAAATAAAAAGTATTGCTCACTTAAAAAAAAAAAAAAAAAGAAGAAGCTGTTGTACAACTTGACAAGGAATATGTTGAAAAGTACAAAAATGCAAAATCCATGGAGCTGAATCTTCAGATCTATGCCTGTAAGCAACTGCATGTAAGCTGCTTTTAAAATTTTAGGTACAATGTCAAAAATATAAGGGCCGGCCTGATAGCTCAGTGGACTAATGCGCCTGCTTAGGTTCCATCCTGGGTGTGCTGCGTCAGCCCAGCCCCTGGGGTGAGCTGAGATGCAACTGAGACTGGGCGTGGTGGCACATGCCTGTAATTCCAGCACTTGGAAGGCTGTATGCAGGAGAATCACTGAGTCCGATCTACATAGTGAGAACCTGAACACCCTGTAGACCCTGCCCTAAAAAAAACCAAAAAAAAAAAAAACAAAACAAGAAACACATGACTACTGAGACATTAATAAAACTTGTGCAAAATATGCAATAGGTGAAAGAAAAATGTCAAGCTGTACACACATACCACAGGAAAAAATATTTTCAAAATGTGGAAAGGAACATCTTTGATACTTCATGTATCTGTGGGTCACTGGTTCCAGAAGGCCAAAGACAGCAACATGCGTAACGCTCAAGCAACTTATATAAAGTGGCATAGTCTTTGTATATACAGATTCTTACATATTCTTTACAACACCTATAGATAGATAATTACAATACACAATACAAATGCTATGTACCTCTTGTGATACAGTATTGCTTGGGGAATAGTGACATGGGAAAAAGTCTAAACATATTCATTGGAGATGAGTATTTTTCTAAAGTATTTTTAATCAGAGATTGGGTGTGGAACACAAAGATATAATCTATAACACAATTTATAGAAAGAATTAAGAATTAATTGAGCCGGGGAGATGGCTCAGTAGAATAAGCGCTTCCTGGCAAGCGCAATGGCCTGAGTTTAATCCTTGGTTCTGCCAAAAAAAAGAATAAACATGACAAAATATTCTACTACATTAGGAGTGAAATAAACAAAGTGAATACGCTTCAGAATGGTGTGGAAAGAGAGAAACTGATACACTGTCATTGACATGGCTCTCTGGAAGGCAATCTGGCCCATCCACAGGAGGCCTCCATAATGTTTTTTACTCCTTTGAGTGGCAATTCCAGTTTCTGGAATAAAAACTGGACACACAACAGCTCTATTTCTTAGCTAAGAGGTTAAAATTCTGCTCTCAAAAGCATTATAGACTCTGGGTTGAAATAAACTTTTCATGTCTAAACATAGCCAGTTAGGCTCTCTGGATTAAAAAAAAAATCCCATTAAAAAAAATTAGTAGGTAAGATTTTAACTTTAAGGCACTCTAAAGACCTTTCCATGACACATTTACTGTTATTCTGAGCAATGTGTTTTCAGCAGATCAGAAGGAACTGGAGTTAAACACGCTAGTGTTGCAAGAGAGACAGGCAGGGAGAAGAAACACTGTGCAGCACTTTAGCACAGACACACATAGCTCCTTGCAGAGGGAAGGTCATGTTCCCAACAAAGTCCTCACCTGGTCAGTTTAGGAAGGCAGAGAATGTGAATGCAAGCTCAGAAGATTTCCTTGAAGAGTGATATAAACTGACTTTCGGAAGACTTAAAGGTACCCATGAAGTTGTTTATGGACATCAACATACTGACTCTAAAGTTTTTACGGAGAGATAAATGATCCAGAAGAACCAACTTTACACTGAAGGAAAACATCAAATCAGAGGGCTGATGCCATCTGACTTGAAGTAAAGGCTCACTCTAAGCTCTAACACTTAAGACACTGGTATTGACTGGATTGAATCTCTGCCTAAGTAGGCACTTTAGTCCTCTGAGCTATCTAGCCTGCTCTTTTCTTCTTTATAAGTTTTTGTCTCGGGGCCAGGGAGATAGCTCAATAGAATAAGCACTTGCCTGGCAAGTGCAAGGGCCTGAGTTCAATCCCCGATTCTGAAAAAAAAAAAAAAGTTTTTGTCTTGTTTATTTTGTCACAGTGACTGATCACTAACATACCATTATTATGGCAGCTTTACTTATAACTGTCAAAACTTGGACTAAACTAAGCTTTTCTTCAGCAGGTGAGTGTATATACTATGGTATAACCACATGATGGAGTATTACCCAGAACTAAAAAGAAACAAACTGCCAAGTCATAAAAAGACACGGATTGCCTGGCAAGAACAAGGTTCTGAGTTCAATCCCCGGTACCGCACGCACACACAAACACACACACACACACACACACACACACACAACCCCCAAACCCAAACAAACAAACAAACAAACAAACAAAAACCGGGCCAGGGAGATGGCTCAGTGGAATAAGCGCTTCCCTGGCAAGCGCAAGGACCTGAGTTCAATCCCCAGTTCCATAAAAAAAGGGAACAAACAAAAACCATAAAGACATGGAGAGCCAGGGAGATAGTTAAGTAAGGGGGGGGGGGGGTAGACACGTAGGAACCTCCTGTGTCTATTACTAAGTGAAAGCACATGTGAAAAGGCTATTACTACTGTAGAATCTCAACTAAGTGATATTTTAGAAAAGGCAAAATATGGACAAAATAAAAAGATCAATAGCTATGAGAGTATGGTGAAGGACAAACAGGCACAGCACAGTGAAATTACACCCATAATACTATAATGGTGAAAACGTCATGCATTTGTTGAAATCCTAAGAATGCACTGTCTCCGTTACTTTTCACTTGTTGCTGTGACAAAATACCTGACACTCAAAAAAAGAAAGGAAGGGTTTATTTAGTTCATAGTTTGTGGAGGTTTCTGTCTATACCCGGCTGGCTCCCATGCAGAATGGCACACGGCAGAGAACATCAATTCATGGCAGCACAAAGCAGTGAAGAGCAAAGGGAAGGGCAGCAGCTGCAGCTTCTAGCCAACCCCTCTCCCCTCCTCTTATAACAAGCTACCCTGGGGTGGGGTGTAGAACTCACACAATGTCCGTGCCCTCGTCTTGCACAGTAATAATTCTGGCTCTCTGCTGAGTTAAACTTCTAAACTTCTCAGGTTGACACAATCTATCAACCAGTATATATACAATACCAAGACTGAACCCTAAAGTGAATTATGGACTTTGCCTGAGAATGACTCCATATAGTCCACTGGTCACTAATATACCACGGTGCTAGGGACAGGGAGGCTGTGATACAGGGCCACAGGAAGTCTGCACTTTGTTGAATTTTGCTGTGAGCTTAAAACTGCTCTCCCCAATAAACCCTACCTAGAGGGAATGCTAAATAGTTTTTATCTAGATGTCCTTCAAAGCCCTATGAGCTCATAGGTAGGGTTTTAGAGAACAGCTGGGCCCCTGGAGGCATGGTCTAGAAGGGCTCTTGTCCACTGTGTGGAGTACAAGCTCCCTCTGCAATGCCCCAGTACCAGGTAACCATGGTTGAAGCTTTTACACAGCTTGAGCCCAAATGTACCTTTGCTCCTTAGGGTAACAGGTGGTAGGTACTGTGTCTCAGTGATGAAGTGATTTAAAACACAGCTAAATCAACAGAACAGAATTTTTTTCCCCCCTGTATTTAGAGTAGGGTCTATAAGGTCTCACTTCGTAAATCGGACTTGTAGTGATCCTCCTGTTTTCAGCCTCCCCCAGAGCCGGGATTACAGGCATGCACCACACCTAGTCTCAATCATCACCACACCTAGTCTCAATCATTGTCTCAGCTCACCCTAGGGGCGGGATGGGCAGGGCACATTGGGGATTGAACCCCGGCCCTGTGCTCTGCCTAAGCAGGAGCTTTAGTCCGCTGAGCTATCAGGCTAGCCCTCAGAATATAAAATTTTTGAGAGCTCTTCTCAATACAGGGATTTTGTACACTGACAAAAAAAGAAGAGACTCAGTAGAATAAGCGCTTGCCTGGCAAGCACAAGGACCTGAGTTCAATCCCTGGTTCTGCAAAAAAAGGAAAAAGTCAGGGGAGAGGATGAACCAATCAGTAAGTAGAACTTGGAAAACTAAACTGCCACACAGGAAAAAAACAAACAAAACTACAGATGGTAATTTGTAATAGTAGTTTCATGTTTGGAGTGCCTGTCATTCCGGTATTCTGAATATGGGTGGCTTGTCATGACATGCCAGTTACTGCTAGGATGTCTCTCGGGTAGGTGGATGTTCAAGAAGAAGGGTTGGTGAATGAAAGCAAGAGACAGGAAAAGGAATATTGTGGGACTGTCCTGCTTCAAGGTTGTATATGGTGAGATTTTTGGACTTATGTGCAAACATGAGAAGTATATAATTCTTTATCCTATTTTTAAAATATAATCTAATTTTTAAATGTTTTATCATATTATGTAGGGACTTAAAGTTCAACATATCAATACTTGATGAAAAATACCTGTTCCTTATTATGCCTAAGATGTTTGAAATGCAGTGAGATAGTGAGGTTAAGCTTAATAGCCTAAATCGTTTGATAATAACAATAAGCTTGTCTTCTGGATGGTTAACAACCTAAGTTTGCAGACCAAAATTAGAGAAAAAGGAGGGCTACAAGGAAAGCCAACATTTGGCCCTAACCTTCTAAGGTCAATTAAGACTCAGGACATATGAGAACTTGTACTGTAACGTCATACACCTCGGTAGTGTCCCAAATTTTCTGATCAAGAAGATTATGGGGCCAAAGAGGAAAGTGATCGATGACGTAGAGTGTACCTAAGGAGAGTCACATGGGAAGAAAACTCAGGCTTTCACAGAGAGCACATTGGCCAAGCATTGGCCGTGACTCATCCACATGTTTGCACTGACAAAGGTTCTACAATCTGAGGTACAGGATCTCAGGATAAATCCTGATGGGATTTCACTGACCTTCTCACACCAAAAAGTTACAACTCTTGTTGCACAGGTCCTACTTTACCTTGGTCTTAACCATCCAGTAGAAAAGTATGAAGACGAAATATAGGAAGTAAAGCCATGCTGTTATGTTGAGCTGTGGGGGACTCAGGTCAGTAATTTCTGACATTGCCAGTTAAACAGAAGACCCAATGCTATTATGGGCTACTGGACTCTTTTAGAATATTTTGCTGAGTTTACACACCTATAATATTCAATAACGGAACTTAGAAAAAATGGGGTATAGAGATGAATGTCCATTTTGTATCTGTGTATTCAAAGTGGTTAGGATAGATATATAGTTGCATTGTCTTAATGAATAGAATGCTTTGTTCTAATGGTGTTTGTAAATAGGATCTCAAGTCCGCATCTTGTAAGGCAATTAACCACTAAGAAGAATATATGCAGTGTGTTATTTGTTGAATCTGTACTTCCGATTTGATTTGAAACTGTCTCATTGCTGTTTATCAATAAAATTTTGGGAAAACAAACAAACAAACACATACTGGGATGTCAGGACAAATTTCAAATAGCTAAGTGTTCAAATGTCAGAAGAAAGAAGGAGTCATATAGTGTGTGCCTTAGGCCCAGTGCACCTCCTCCCTGGCCTGCTGCAAGCTCTTGGGACTGCAGAGCTCCAGGCACAGTCCTGCCCCCTGCCACAGCCACGGACTACCTCAGGGTAAGTGTGGCCATAGCTCACAGCCCATCACAGGAAGCCTCTGTTGCCCACCCCCTGAGACTCACAGGGAGCTGTGGGCTGCAATGAGTGTGCCTGCTGGAAAAGCAGAGTCCAGTGTGGGGGCCAAGCTGGCAGTGTGGTGGAGCACTTCTTTCCTCCTGGGAGAGGCTCCTTTGAACTCTGGCGGTAAAAGACACTTTGCATGGCCAAGTTAAGGCAGTCTTTATGAAGCTACAGCCTGCCTGACATGCAGCCTTGATAGTCAGTCCTCTATCTGCAGGCTTCACATCCTGGGATAGTCAACTGTGAGTCAAGTATTTGGGAAGTGTTGTCAACACCCAATCATATACGTTTCCCTGTCCTCATTCCCTGAACAGTAATATGGAACTACACAGCACTCACACTTACAAAAGGGACTGAAATATCTGCAGTTTGCTGCACAGAGGGGCCTCAGACCCAATTCACCGAGTGTACTGTGGAACTCAAGGACGGCTGCAACTGCCCTGCTTTCCTCCCACTTTGCTGCCTCCAACCAGTCTCCTAGTCAGGTATTCAGTAGCTGGCCTCATGTTGTATCTGCTATGTGACCTGACATGAGCATTAGCTAAGACAAAAACCCCAAAACCACAGTGCAGTTTCCAGGGCTGACTGGGGAGGAGGGCTGACTGGGGAGACGCAGCATGGTGGACACACACAACAAGAGGGAACCTGAGGCAAGTCCTGGACTTGGGACTGCTATGAAGAGAGGTCATCACTGTAACAGAGATGCAGGGAGGGATGTTGATAACAGAAGGCGTTTGGGAGGCTGGGGGTAGGAGAACATTATGTTCTTTTGTAGGCTGCTCAGTTTTACATGGAACCTAAAATTGCTCTAAAAAAACAAGGTCTAGGCTGGGTGTGGTGGTACACACCTGTAATCCCAGCACTCGAGAGGCTGAGGCAGCAGTATTGCTGTTCAGTTCAAAGCTAGCCTGGACTACACAGCAAGACCCTATCTCAAAACAAAATAAACAGATAAATAAAAATAAAAACTAGATAAACAGAACGGCCACATTTCAAGCATCTGGAGAAATGAAATGCCAGTATGGGTTAACACAACACTGCTGAAAGGACACCTCTGTGTCCTGCCCAAGGCTGTGGGAGAGGGAAACAGGGAGTTCTTTGGATGGCATGTACCTGTCACTCCTCCAGCAGTCTTGACTTTCTGTTGGTCGTCCCATCGCAGCTCAGAGAAGCCATCCACCTCGGCCTCAGGGTGCTGGATAGAGTGGCCCACTTTCCAGAAGCAAGAGAAGTGATACCAGTGTGGGACTTTGCCATCGAACATGGGTGACTGGAAGGCAGGAAAATAGGAGGTGAGAGAACAGGCAAAACTGACTCAACCTTGTCACTCCCCAGCCTACCAGCCTGCAGGCATGGGGCAACACTGGGAGCCTGCGTGCTTCTCTGCAACAGGAGGGTGGCCTGGCCTGCATCTTCTACGTGTCACTCCAAAGGTTATAGTGGAAAACAAACCTGTCACAAGCTCAAGATCTTCCCTGACAGCTTGGAAAGCATCAGGACAGGAAGTTAAGCCACAAGAGCTCTGCTTCATGTGCCTTTAAGTGTCGGTGACTCACATCAGTGATGTGCTGCGCAGCACCTGTGTGCTTATAAGCTGGTGGCTCACCTGCTGGGAAAGGTTGAACCAAGAGACAGTTACACTCGGGGTTAAAGGCCTGGCTGAACCAGGATGGGCCTGTTAAGCACCTCTTTAGTAAGAGAGTAAGGAGGGAGGAACAAGACCCAGATGAAAAGCTTCGCAGAGAAGATGTTCCAGAAAACATGGCAGCCTCAGGGGCTGAGCAGGCATGAGGTGAGTAAATTAATTTCTGTGCCAGGAGTGAGTGAGTTTCTGCAGATCTGGGATGCAGACCTGCAAGGCAGGAGGTCCAAGGAAAGGAGATGTCTCCTCTCCAACTGCTTCCTTTCCAGCAGTTAACACTCCCAGGCTGGCACTGACCTAGGCCTTTTCCCTATGGCAGGGCCAGGTTCTACTCTGCAGCTCAGCATTTGTTGGCTTGGGAGAGTGGATGAGGACAGTTGTTGGGAGGAGAGGACATTCCACTGACTAGTTCCTGTGTCCTTTACAAACTATGCATGCAGTACACCCTACACCTGCACAAGGGGAAACATGCCCTACAAAATGTGCCTGGGAAGGAGGAGTCACAGCAGTAAATGCTTCAATCTGAATCCTAGCCTGACGCTGGTCTCTTCCCTTACAGGAGAGGAACCCCAGCACACAAACTGTCTTAAAGGAAGAGGTCAAGAATACATTCCCACAGCTCAGAAAACTAAAGATTACGCAGATGTAATAAGAATTTACAACAACATTAAAAAATACTATACCCCTAGCTTTCTGGATGAAGGGGCCAGGGCCATACCCCAGGAAAGTGGAGACAAGGAAGGGGTCCCAGTGAGCCTGCTCCACTATCTAGATTCAGCATGTTATAGTGGAGGCTGAGGAGGGCTTCCACATGCTCTCAGTCAGCTGGGTAAACACAGCACCGCACCCACCATCCTCACAAGAGGACAGCAGCAGCAGCTTGGCCCAGAGCCCCATCCTGAGCTCCCTGAAGGTTACTTTTGGTGGGTGCACAGACATAGCCATACAATACTCCGGGGCTGTACACATCTAGCAACACTCTAGCAGAGGGCAGGCCTTCAGTTTGGAAAGACGTGTTTCCCTAGTAGAAAACAAATGGCATCTTCAGAGCAGCCTCAGATCCACCCCATCTCACCAGGCACCCCTAGGTATCTGGCTGGTAGCAGCCCCAAGCTGGCTGTGCTTGCTGAGGCACCCTGAATCCTCACTTCCTCCACACACTCCATGACTGGCATTTTTCCGGCTCTGCAGGGAATCCATACTTGCTGCCCCTTGATCTGGGTGCTAAGCACCCCAAAGGCACCGGCACCGACTAGAGAACCCTAAGGACTTGGGACTGAGAAGGATCCAACAAGACTTTGGCCTCCACTGTTAAGTGTAAATAAAGCTCAGGCGAGGTATGAAATCCATGGCTGTGCACTCCACAAACATTCACAGATCAACTCCCCACACACCAACATTCTCAAACAGCATGTTGGGCACTAAAGGTTCACTTCCTCCAGGATCAAACAGTGCTCACCAGGAAGTTGGCAGAACAAAGACCTCCTGAGTGCCCTTCTCAAAGGTTCCGGGACCCTCCTCCCAGTTAAACTGCTAGAGGGCTGGGTGTGGAGGTGCTTTCCTGAGACCCAGCTACAGGGAGGCTGAGGCAGGATGGCTCAAATTCACAATTCATTGCCAGAAACTCAGTGTCAAAAACAAAATAAAACAACAAAAAACCCCAACCTAGTTTCAAACAAAGGAAGGACTCAACTCCTCCAAGCAGCTAAAGTATCAGGTATTGCTGCCTGGCGCACAAACCTCCCATACAAATGTAAAAGAACTTAAATTCAAGTCCCTGAAAGAAAAGCTCTTCCTTTTCTGGCCTTCTCAGCTCCATGTATAGGACCAGCCGTAAATGATTTTAAATTTAAACTTCAGACTGTAACAACAAAAGTTACTCTCAATAATAAAAGACCTCTTCCACTACCAAGTAATTTGAAGAAAGGCCCAGAAAGCTGAATTTAGGGTTCAGCAATTTGGTTCTGGTTCCATCCAGGGAACATCTAGAACCCCACTCCATCTTTTCTACCTACATAGCAGCAGGAACCTTGCTCCATGGGACTGGCTGGATGTGGGGTTTGTAGCCACCCTTCCTAATACAACAGGGCGCCACGACTGGCTGGAGAAGCCTGTGGATGTCCCTTTCTCAGTGGAACATTCTAAAATGTGAAATAAAATGCACAGACCCCCCCCAACCCAAAAGAGGGTAACCCACAAGTCTTACTAGATGAAGATAAATGTTGTTTTGAGAAATCCCTGGCGATATATATATGACAGGAACAAGTCTGATATTACTGTTGATGATGGAATTCACAAATATTGCTAAAATAATGAATTTCACCTAGAAGTTAGTGAAGACAGAGATGAATTTTTTTTCCTCACCTAAACTTGGGGACCTCTTGAGTTCTACCCACAACCTCAAGGGCCCAGGCCCGAGGTTAAGAAGTAGAGCAACAACTGGGGGTGGTGGCAGCATATGCCTATAATCCCTGGAGGATCCTAAATTCAAGCCCAGCTTCAACAATACAGTGACCTTGTGAGACTGTTTCAGTATTTTCAAAAAAGGCTGGGATGAAGTTCATTGTGAAGGCCTGGCTTCAGCCCCCTTATCATACCACACGTACTTGCAGCAGGGACTTCATAAGAGCAAGCTGCCACGTGTATGCAAGGTGAAGTGCACAGGGCCTTGGTGGGAGAGGTGATTTTCCCCTGTTCTCACTCCATGCTCCTGGTTCCCCACATCCATACTCCTCCTGCCCCCCCCCCCCACTAAGCTCACACTGATGCCCTCCTGGAAGACTGCTCAGCTAAGCTCACACTGATGCCCTCCTGGAAGACTGCTCAGCTTCTAAAGTGGTCACTCACGCTGGGAAGCTCCCATGGGTGGGTTCTCATTAAAAATTTATCTTTCTCCTCACTGACCTCTGCTGAGTTACACCCTATCACATGTTAAGACACAAACGTCCCCCAAATGAGTAACTACTAGGCGGGCATCAATTTATGGGGTCACAGCCTCCATCCCTCCCGAAGTCGCTGTGAGAGGTCACAGAAGTGCTGCTGGCCCCCTGGTACCTTGTGGGTCAAGGTCTTCCTCTTCTCTACCTCACAAATACTGAAACCCAGCGGGCGCTATCAGGTCATCCTCGAAACACATTACAGCCCCAAGGCTGAGGTGGAACTAAGTACTTTTGACTACTAGCACTGGGCTTGGGGGACAATCTACGTTGGAGATGAAGAGGTACAGGTAAGAAAGAACCTGAACTACAAAGGCAGGCTTAAGCAGGCTGCAGGGCTGGGGCCTTCAAGCCTGCCTCCCACTGCACAAGGCATCCCAAGACCTCCCTGGCCGTTTGGGCAGCCAGAAACCGTTAGAGGACACTCAAGTCTATCAAAAGGCCTGCAGGAGGCTGGACACAGTGGCACAGGCCCGTAATTCAAACACTGGGAGGCTGAGGTAGGAGGATCACGAGTTTGAGGCCAGTCTAGGCTGCATAGGTTAATTCAAGCCCAGACCAAACCACAGCCAGACCCTACCTCAAAACAAACCTGAAAAACAAGCCTAGACGTGAAAGCCACTGAAATCTTACTAAAGCCAGGCAGCTGCAAAAGTGCTGAGAACGCATCCGCGGCCCTGTAAAGGTTGGGGTAAAATGATTTAAAATCACAAAGTAGGCCATATGTCAATGTGCTATACAGAAATGACTGTAGCATAATCCTGCGTAATTAAAATAAAAACTGAAGGAAACAAATGAGCCCGAAAGTGAGAGGGCTTTCAAGTAACCGCTCAAAATGTTTAAACACACACACATATATATCCCTTACGCGCCAGTGGCCGGCTCCCGAGGGGCGCAATGTCCGGGAGAGCTGGGCCGAGAGGAGCGCAGAGCCGCGACAGGGCGCAGGCAGCTCGGGCCCGCACGCTGCACCCAAGGGGCTCGGCGGCGGCCCAGCTCGACCTTGCTCTGCCGACCCCCAGGCGCAGTACGGTCTGGTCCGGTCCCGAGGCCGCGCCCCGCCCCCACCCCGGCCGACGCTGCCGCCCACCTGCACCATGATGGCCATGCGGAGAGAGTCCTTGGGGATGCTCTCGCCGCATTTCTTGCAAGAGGCGCGCCCGCTCTTGGCGTACTCGGCGCGGTAAAGCCTGTCCGAGGACTCGGCCATTGCGCGGCCACCTCGCCGTTCCCGCTGCAGGAGTCCCGAGCCGCCACCGCCGCTGCGCACGCCGCACGGATGGATTGCTGATGCCTGGCGGCGGGAACGTGCGCGCGCTCGGGGCGGGGCTGCCGCGTGCGCTCCCGGCCGGCTGGGGCGCG